AACCTGGGACTGGCCCTGGAGATGGTGCTCCCCGGTGAGGTGTTGTGCACCTGCTGTGACAGAAGCTATTTTAAGGGTTCTTTGTTAAGAATAACCGGCATCCTGCTGGATTGCCGTAGTAAGAGCAATTAACAAACACCACTGATTCCTAGTTCCTTAATTCATGCACCTGTCATACTCTGCTGTTTTGCATTATAAATTCATGAACACACGTTATCAATTGATTTTGTGAACTAGTGAAATGTGGTAACACAATGAACACAATGCGGTGACACAGTAAAACCCCAAGGACCATGTTTTTGCTCTAAGAATAATTAACACATTAACAGCTTAACTGGAGACACACACACTCACACACACACACCTCGACTGTGAATTCCTAGTTTAAGGGTAACATGAAAATGCTCAACAATTCTTCTGAGCAAATCAATGAATTTGTTTCTCTGTGGCACGATGCATAGAATGTAAAGCACGCCTACAAATCCATCTACATAAAGCTGCATTAATATCTAAGAAAACACACAGCCTCAACCCCTTCCTTCTTTTACTGGAAAAAAAATGTATCTAACACCCCCGCAACACAATATTCATTGTATAAAAAAAACCTGTAAGAATATGGAGCGATATTTCCTGAAAAAATTGTCGCCAAGATAATAGACAATTTAAAAAGTGCATTGTTTCCATTTTACAGGAATCCTTGAACATAAGTCTTTGATTTAATTGAGGTAAGAAATGGGGAAAGCAAAGCTTACATAGGCTTTCATAGGCTTACATAAAAGGGAGATTATTTATTTGCCAGGCCTATTACTGTTAAATTAAACTTATTCACCAGCACACCTTTACGATGGTGGGGGGGGGAGGGGGGGTTGACGCAGATGGGCCAGCAACAGGAAGTTATAAAGTGAGTTCGACTGATACAATAGTATCACTTCCATTTTCACCAACCTAAATGAACACGACTGAAAAGCCGAGAGCTGCTGCTACTCCCGCTTCTGTAACTGTACTTGGCCTCTAGAGGGCACTGCATCCTCTCAGGCCCCCTCATGGCAGCAGAAGCACACCGATGCCCTTCGGCACTTTCCGTGGCCGCCTTACCAGACTGCGGTTGTACTTGCTGAGGCTGTTCTCCAGGGCGGTCCTCAGCCCGTCGTTGCTGTCATGAAGCTTCCTGTTTGCCGACCTGAGAAGAGCAGACGGAATACCAACTGAAGATGAAATAAGTAAAAAAAATCTTTCATCCCATTTTATCAGCAACTGACAAAAAAAGCCTAAAAATGTGTCTCCAAATACTGTACGGTAGCAGTGTGCAGCGGTTTTTACAAAGAAAATATTCTGGGGAAGTACCGAGAGTAAATCAGTAACTTTTTTGTCCCCCTCTGTAGATTTTCCCGACCAAGTGGGGGTGAGGAAATCCCTTTTGGTTCATCGGTACCAAAGGCAGGAGGGGGTTTCCTCAGTTAAGATCTCGCAGTCAACTAGGAATGTCTTGGCAATCCAACAAAAATCAATGTCATATTCTACAATAGCAGACAGGCATTCCAAGTGGGTTTCAGACTTAGCTGCACTTCCTGTTGAACATCCGACCAAACTTACTGGAGGATTTCAATCTGTCGCTCCAGGCTATCCCTCTCATCAGTGTAGCCTCTCATCAAGGCTTCGTCTCTGAAGAGAGAGAGAAGATCCATCACTCTGGGCTCTGTGTCACGCAGGCACCCACCTGTGCGGCGGAATGCAGTCACAGCAAAGACAGCCTCGGCCATCCACATGTAATCAAATCTAGTGACACAGTTTAAATCTTCTGTCCCAGGCTGGGTTGCCAGGCAACAACAGGCCAAACTGCCCCCTTTTCGTGAGTTTCTTTGTGCGGCTGAGATCAGTCCAGGATATCCTGTTACCACCGAGGTGAGCGTGTCAGAAGGACGTCACACGGGCTGGGAATAATCTGACGGGTCGGCCCCGCGTGCTCAGCCCAGCTGGGTGGACGGATCACTAGACAATTCGCTTGTTTGCAATTGGTGTGGTGCAAATTATGTAAACCAGAAGTTGTGACCTTTGACCCGTCCAGCAGTGAAACATGAGAGAAATCTCAACACTGTCCTAACAGCAGACACAAGAGAAGCTCTTTTATGAGTTATTAGGTAATTAATTATTCAGTAACCTTTCACAGTTTAGGCTTTGATCAGTGTAGTCGCTCTTCAAACTGTCGAGTTCACTCTGCAGAAAGGCGATGTTTGTGTGAGATTCCAGCAGTTCCTTCTTCAGCTGCTGATTCTCCTAAAATAACGCAAAAGAAAATCAACATTCCGCCATCGCAGGGCTGCACGTGTGGCAGTGAGGAGGCGCAGGAAGCCCTTACCAGGGTTAATTTACTAATCTTCCTCTTCAGTCCAGGGGCCTCATCTTTCAGGCTGATATTCTTATATTGCTCCTCGATCTGAGAAGAAGTGGAAGTTCTTACACGGTGAGCTCACGCCAAAGCAACGGTGATTGACAGACACAGAAAAGGTGGCGGCGTGTGGTGCCTCTGGCTTGCACACTGGGGGATTTGGGCAGGGATAATGTAAAGCACGTTGAGACAATGCAACGTTTCAAATTTTATTAACATAAAACTGAATTGAATTTAATTAGGGATGAATGCCAGTATCTGGTTGTGAGTTCGAATCCCATGGCCAATAGAGGATGTGTATCATACAGGCATTGGATGCCAGCAGACCCTGCACTCTGACATCAAACTTTCTTCACTTGTACGTCACCCAACGCAGCCTGACGCACGCCTGCTCGTACCTTCTGCATCTTCCGGATCTTGTGCTGCAGCTCACACACTTCGGACTCGTACTGCCGCTTCAGCTCGCTGAGGGCCGATTCCGTATTCCTGGCCTCCTGTGGGAACCCTTCATCAGTGACAAACCCGAGAGCCTCCTCCCCTTCAAGACCTGATCAGTGAGTTGCACGGTCAAATCTTAGAAATGTCTCTATACTGTAGGTCCTCCTTCACTAAACACCATCCAAACATTTCTATAAGCAAAACTGCAAAAAATGAATAGCAAAGACCATTGAAGCTTCACATTTGAATCTTATTATCCTCTCATGTTACCATAGTCCTACCCCTTAGAGCTCTATGAAACCACACACATAAGCCAAAAGCGCAGATCCACTGGAATCTAAAAATAAATACAATGAAAGCCACCAAAGGCACCTACAAAGCCTGAAAGGGCTAGAAATGAATTACTCTCGCAACAGTCTGCTTACAACAATTCTGCATCCCGTCATTTATTTACACAGCTGACGTAGTCCCAGCCGGTCACAGAGCCGGGACTCAGGAGAGCCCCCAGAGCCTGCCAGAGCAACGCTGTGTCATGGTAGGTCTCCTGCCAAGCAAACAGCATCTGCTGATAAGGGGCAGGAATAAAACACTAAACAAACTGCTGCAAACGTTCCAGGACTCACTGGGTGACAAAGGAACGCGGGCGTTTCTATGGAGATGTACTATAAACAATAAACAGACCAGCTGTACATTTTATGTTATAACCCGATTTTACATTCTGTCACATAACATAACATAACATCACTGGGATTTTATTCTCAGTATCTGATTGCTGTACTTCTAAAATTACCATCATGTATTGCCACATTTCATTAAAGCATGAATACTTTTTTATACAGATTTGTTGTAATGAAAATTTCATTTTAATGAACAATTTCACGGTTAACAATGTGACAATAAGACTGATTTTTTTATTAATTAAATCTAATTTTTATATTCCTTATAAGATCTACCCATCTTACGGCACTCACCGTTTATGCTGGGTGCTGTAAGCTAAATTCTTAATTAACTAATTAGGCTTGATTAAGCCATGGATCGAAAGAATCAATTAAAACCAAAAGATTTTAATTAAAGTCATGTTATATCAAATTTTTAATTTTCACATTCATTTCCCAGCTGGGGAATAACTGAAATAGAAAAAAATGACCAGAGGTTTCTAAATACTTCGTCCTTGCATTTACAATTAATGAGTGTTCATTATTAGCAGTTTTCATTTCATCAATAGTTAGACATTTGTGACCAATTAATTAAAGAATTAAATCATCTACATAATTAATTATTAAAGATATTATCATTTGAAGCTCCAAAATTAAAGGAACATATTCTCAAAGAACTGCAACAGATTCTTAAAATGTTAAGTGTTTGTCCTATGTATTGTTACACTGTGTCTTTCTGCAGAAAACATGCAAGTAAGCCATTAAGCAAGTACATAATGTTCATTGTACTCAGTACTTTTACTAGTACAAATGACAATACAGCTGTTTTTGTTTGAATCCTTGAATAAAAGCAAACTTGTAGCAAGTCCATAAATAACATATTCAATCACACCACTGAGACTGTTTGCCATATTCAGTTAATATCTCCCTGAAGTAGGGCTGCTCGATTATGGCAAAAATAATAATCACAGTTATTTGGGTCAATATTGAGATCACAATTACTTAACACGATTGCTCATTGACTTATTATAGAAATATTATGCGTTTATTGAACTTTAAAAAAAAGAACTCCAAATATAATTCGACTGAGAAAAAAATAAAAAAGGCTGTAATGGGGTGCAGCGGATATATAACAGAAGCGTGTGTGTGTGTGTGTGTGTGTGTGTGTGTACGTGCGAGCGGGTTTACCTATCCTTATGGGGACATAATGTCCCCATAACGTGATAAATATCCATTTTTTTTCCCTTATGGGGACCGGTTTCCTGGTCCCCATAAGGGAAAACTCTATTTTATAAAAATCGGTGATTGCTATGAAAAAAATAAAATGCAAAAAACTCTTGTATTTTGTTAGGTTACTTATGGTTATG